CTAATAAAGTCCGTCTCGTTTGCAACCGTATTCGAGTCGGCCCTTTTGCCGGCAATCCGAATCTGCGATAGCACAGATTGACCTTCCTTCCATTCCGGCAATTTAATCCGACCACTCAATTGTCTAATGTGTTTCCTTTTCTCCATTGCTCTTCCTTCGTTTCTAGACCAGGAACGCTGAAAAGAAGCTTCTATTCCTCCCCCTCAGGTCGCACACAATGAATGGGGGAATCTAGTTTTCACTTCATTTGATTGACTTTTCACCAATATTTTTCCCGGCGAGCGCGCTCATTTTCGATGCCATTTCGATTCGGAGAATTCCCTCCCTGCACCGTCATCTGACTGACTGCCTTCGTGAGAGTGTGTTGATGTGTTTCCTCGTTTTCCTCGAGTTCACAAATTTCCAATTCACTCGATTCCATTCGCTGTGTTGCTTTTTTTTTGCGTCGTTGCCTACATTAAGGTTTCCTTTCTGTTTTCGTGTCGACCAGCCTTTTCCCAGCAAGCGAGCAACCTGACCCTATAGCCGAACGCCTTCTGATGATTCTATTTCTGTGTTTTCGTTCCTTTCCCGCTGGCTCAAGGAAGTGAGTGAAGAAAATGATTTCCGCTCGATTGAATGTAGTTTTTTTTTCTTAATTCTTGTTGGATGAGATCCGTTTTGTGTTCGTCCAAGCTAGGTTGAACTTCACTCTGTTTGGTATAATACAGGGTTGTATATTTGTGCAATTTGTCCTCCATGAATAAACATTAATTCAAAGTTAATTTTGTTCATTTAGTACATCATCTATAAATTCAAATGGCTTCAAAAAAAAAATAAAAATGGTAAAAGTGCCTTTAACACACGATAACAGCAAAAAAGAAGTACATATTCTTTAAGTTAAGCAAGTTTTAGATGAAAAATGTTTATCTTGAAGTCTTTTAAATATTACCTGATCAGGGGCGAGATACCTTCGACAATTATATCAAAATATGACATTAGCTTAAAAACCAAACATTGCTCAGCACGAAAAGCTCTATCATTTGGGAATTGGCTCTAATGTTGGTCTATGGATCTAAGATTGGGCCCATTGCTAAAAATCTGCTATTTATCAATTTTATCTAGTCATTGGGACGGTACTAATGGATACTTTGGTCGCTATTGAAAATTTAGTCGATTGCTGAATTTATGTATGGGCTCAAAGGGGTATATATGCCGAAATAACATCCATTTCCCCTATATTAGGTTTTTTAATACGAAAATTTGTTCGTTGGTATTTAGGAATAATTGATATTTTTTAAATATATCTAAGGTGTCATGCATTTTGGACCTGATACTCTGATCTACGATTTTGGTTTTTTTTTTTTTTTTTGTATGTTCCAAAAACATGATAATATTTTCAAATCCCGGAAACTTTAACACGTCCTTGGTAATAAATTTTATTGCGTCCTCAAATTTTGTTTTGGTTTAAGCTCAAATTTCTTACGGAATTCAATTTATTTCAGAGACAAATGTTGAATGTTGCACGGAGAATGAAAGTAGGTCGAGCTGAGAACTGACGTGTTTTGGTTTCACTGAAAATTTTCGTCTCTGTTTTCTCAAATTCAAACGATTTAAGCTTTACATTGACTCGTTCTCATTCGCCGTGTACGTTGTGTACGGAAGCTGTGTGACGAAGAAGAGTAAAAAAGGAAAAGTGGCAGAGGCTGATAACAGGGGGCTACTACGGAGGCACATTTTGAAAAATTCATGTTGATAGAATATCGAAGCAACCTGTTAATTTTGCTATTGAATCTGAATATGCCTCAGTACCAAAACGTCAAAACCGAAGACATGTTGGATTCAAACTTCAATGTAAGGAGGTTTGACAGCTGCAGAATACTCCTGGCAGATAGGCAACTATGGTCGCGATGGAGTTGACCGGGGTACCGGGCACCGATGTTGGTCATTGACTGTAATCGGGAGTGGGATCGATTTATAAGTCACCACAAAAGTAAAAGTAAGAAATTTTTCACGAATTCTAAGACTAAAAAATAGATCCGTAGAAATATTGATTTCTTAAACGTAGAACTGTTTTTAAAGATTCCGGATTTATAATATGTGTCGAGTTCCAGATTAAGATAAATTTAATGATGTTTAAAAGGTTTAAAAGATACCAGGCTTTTAAAGAATAATTAGGAATCAAAGACCTTGGATGTTTTTCCAATTCCGAACATAGACACATTCTATAAATCTTAATATGTGGAACAAATATTTTTGATTCTTACAGCGACCTAGAGGTCGGATTTGGAAGTTTTTGACGTATATGTGCTTCCTACAACAATAACAACATCAGAAGATTTTTTCGCAGCGCAGTTCGAACGTGCCTTTTGACTATAGTTTTAACATGTATTGTATAGTGAACAAGAATCCTCGGCTCTGTAAAGTTAATTCTATTGAGCCTTATCAAAAAAATTAATAAAAAAAGAAGACTGTAATCTGGAGTGGGATCGATTTATAAGTTTCCACAAAAGTAAAAGTAAAAGCCATAGAATGATCATACATATTTTTCACGAATTCTAAGACTTGAAAAAAAGATCAGTAGAACTATTTTTAAGGATTCCGGACTTTTAAAATGTTTCGAGTTCCAGATTCAGATAAATTTAATAATGTTGAACTTCGGTTTAAAAAATACCAGGCTTTAAAAAATAGGGATCAAAGACCTTGGATGTTTTTCCAATTCCAAACATAGACACATTCTATAAATCTTAATGTGTAGGTCGGATTTATAATCTTTTAGCGTCTATGTGTTCCCTACTACAACAACAACATCAGAAGATTTTTTTCGCAGCGCAGTTCAACCGTGCTTCAGAGAAATTCGGCATGGAAGAAGAAAGTTGGAAAATCATTGCCATCTCGGACCACGATTTGGCCAAAAAGCTCGGTGTCGCACACAGTACCGTGCAACGGATTCGTCTCCGGGAAGGCTTCAATCCATACCGTAAATGCAAACAACCAAATAGGGATCAAAAGCAGAACAATCTGGCCAGAATCCGTGCCAGAAAGCTGTATGATCAGGTGTTGACCAAATTCAAGGTCTGCCTCCCCACCTACGTGTAGGCCGATTTCAAACAGCTACCGGGGAATGTTTCTTGGATACAGCTCTGGGAGATGTTCCTGCCAAAGAGATCAAGTAAAGGTAAACAGTCCATAATAGGCAAAATTTCAAATCTAAAAAAAATCAAATCTACGATCATGTTAAACCTTGATCTATAAAACCTTTAACACTTGAAGAATATTTTGGAGGGTATCAAGTTTCAAGAAGTGTCCTCAAGGTAAAAATAACATACTGTTGTAGTTTGTACAACGCACCAGTGCTCGTGTTTCAAAAGTTGTCGCGAGTACTGAACGGTTAAACAGCATACTTTTTTTTTTGGTTTGTTTTTTCCGTCGATCTTGTTTTCCATGCTGAGCACCAATGCTACCGACGTGCCAGGAAGGCAGCTCCCACACCTGGACCCTACCTATCGACCCATCAACTCATGAACCGGGGACCAACGGCTTTACTTCCCATCCGAAGGAAGGCGTGATCAGAGATGTTGTGCCTCAGAACATCCTGGCGGCGCCGACTGGTATTGAACCCAGGCCTGCTGGGGTGAGAGGTAATCACGCTTACCACTACACCCCCGGCGCCGTTAAACAGCATATTTGGAAGATAAATTTGAATAAATCATCGGATTCTCCAAATGTCGTATTGAAATTTTAAGGCCATCTAAGAAAAATACCCAATATTTTTATTTACTATATATATTTATTTCTCGATTACTTTATCAAGACGACGTATCTGCGTTTGTAAATAAAGATTCAACCGTCAATTTGTCGAAACTCCCACGCAAACTAACAACACCATCTTACTGGGGCATTCCAGTTACCAAACCCGAAAATTATGAAAATTTTGTTAACCAGCAGTTAAGATTATCGAAATGTTTATTAACGTCCTGAAAAGTTAAAGCTGATTTAGAAGCTTTTCAGGCATCCGACAGCCTGAATCCTTCGATGTCTAAAGTTCAACCCTTTTCGCCCAATCAATTTCTTAGTTTCGTTCCCTTCCCTAAACCAACAGCCGCAAGAAACCCCCTTTCCCCTCCGCCGATCGCCTTTCAACACTTGCTCAATCGCCGAAAAGTACTCGTCGAGTGTGTCGATAATAGTTCATCAGCGAGATGAATCATTTGGCAGCACAACGCGAAGCCAGCAGATCTTCTATTGCCACATGCCTTGGGGCACCTTTTTCAATTCGACTGGCACTAACAAGAAAGGAGAGGAAAATGGGTTCGAAATATCCCGGAAAAGTCGTTTCGCGAGGTCAGAATGGCTGCATCGTCTGTTCCTGCTGCTGCTGGAGCTGCCAAGTGGAACAAAAAAGTGAACGGTGTCGGTGTGAAAGGTTTTGCAAACGAATCCACCGCAAAACAGCTGCTGGTTGCTGGTAGATGAACTAAAGGTGATTTGGCTAATATTAATTGAACGTATTTTCAAAGAAGCACAACGGTGCTTCTATTGTGGGTTGCTGACACGGAGTCCTTTCTCTCCTACTCGCAGCCATCGAAGATTTAGCATTCGATCAGTTGCCATACAGATTGTGCTAGCCAAAGGCCGGGTGTAGGTCAACCGATAGATCTCTCTGCGTTTTGCGTTGAAAGGTGAAGCGGCAGCATTTCATCGTGATTACAAAGTAATTTCTAGAAGGGTTATTCATTGCATGCTTCATAGGTAAATGTTTCCATCATAATCCTCAATTCCCACGAAGCCACATCTATAAAGCCTGTCGTAGTTATCATCCTATTGATGAGCGAATAAATATCGGAAAGAAAATGAAATAGTTACTGCAAAGTGGCTCATTTAAATGCCACAACCGGATTATCCTATGAAGTAGCTTTTACGATTAGCAATAGTGCTCACACAAACAGCACACAGATCTCGAACAATTTATTGCACTTTTCCACTAAAGTCGAACATTTCTATCCCTCTATCTATTGCAGTCGCCTCGGCCGGATCCACTACCAACCAGGGCCACAGTCAGCATCACGGAGCAGTGGACAGCAATCTACATCACACGTACAACTATCTCAAAAGCACTGGACAGGTGAGTGAACGTCTAGCGGCGATGATTTTTCTTAAGGCCATACAGCGACCGATCCGACGAACGAAACGGAACGGTCACCGGTCACCATCGCATCGGTTGCGGGTATTGACTGTTTGAGATTCAGATTGAGTGGCCGGTACCTGCTATTAACATGATTCCGACAGACACCGACACAGCTTGTTTATGCTGATTGGCAGGACAAGCAGTTTCTTCGGATGTTGCACTCTCAATTTGCATGCACCCCGTAAAATGGAGTTACGCTCGTGAGTGAGAATGAAAGGAAAGGGACGTCAATTTTGCTTCGTTATGAGCCATGTTTAAATTTTAACAATTTCAACAAATCCACCACTAAGCGGCGTCGGTGGTGTAGTGGTAAGCGTGATTACCTCTCACCGCAGCAGGCCTGGGTTCAATCGCAGTCGGCGCCGTCGGGATGTTCTGAGGCATAACATCTCTGCCTTTGGTCCCCGATTCATGGGCTGGATGGGTCGATAGATAGGGTCCAGGTGTGGGAGCTGCCTCCCTAGCGTTGGTAGAATTGGTGATCAGCACGGAAAACAAGATCGACGGAAAACAAATCAAGGAAAAAAAAGCAAGTTCACTACTCGAATATGATTTTTTAATAATTATCCTTTCGAATGAAGTAGGGGAAATGGCTCTAATGTTGACCTATGGATCTAAGATTGGGTCCATTACTAAAAATCTGCTATTTATCAATTTTTTATCTAGATGAACACGTCATTGGGACGGTACTAATGGATATTTTTGGTCGGTATTGAAAATTTAGTCGATTGCTGAATTTATGTATGGGCCCAAATTAATGGCATTTAGGTCGAAATTACATCCATTTCCCCTATACCATATTTTCGACGTGGTTGATGGGTATTCAATCAAGCTACTGCAAAATTCTGGATGCATATTTCATTTTTAATGACTGAAGGGGAAGATTCCGTGGCTAGCATCCATATGTCTCACACCAAAGTCACGAGTTCAAATCTCATCCCGGACAAGGCATGAATCACCCAAGAGTGTTGAAGTGACTATAATAATATGAATAAGAATAATAATAACTATAAAAAAATGAGAATTTGTCAACGTGTACTAGTAAGGTCGTTCAAAATTCCTAAAGCTAATTCAAAATTCATATAATCCCGGAGTAACAACATTTGTACACGCATTCTCGAGCTTTTGGCTTAAGACATCCAACCGATTCGGTTTACCCGTAGTACAAATGCATTTCTCCAAAATTCATTAATTTTCATCATTGCAGTGAACTAAATCCTTTGAACATCACAAGCTGTCAAGCAAATAAATGTAACTCATATACTCCCAACATTTCTGGACAAAAGATATCACATTTGCTGTATCCCGAGTACCTACTGTTACTGTATTTCAGACCGTCTGTTCAAAAAATTAATTACTTTTACCCAATTGTTCTTTGATTACCTGCTCGGATGGAAATTTTGTTTCAACTTCCCAATGCTCAGTTTATCCACAATACGATGGAAGTTGTGGTTTCACAATACAATCTTCGTTGACAGAATAAGGGGAGCTGAAGCTCCAGCTGAGTCCGTGCTTACACGCAAACCAAAAGGTAAATACGTGAAGTGTAAATGTAATGGATTGTCTTAATGTTATGTGCATATTTCTTACAAGAAATGTAATGGTAGAAATGCTGAGTTTTGTCATTGCTACTGACGGATTTCACGCGATATTAACAAAATTAGGTTTGACATTTTTACTGGACGAATTGACCTTCTTCAAAATCTCGTAATTTTTTTTGTTAGTGACGAAGATTTATGTGGTGACTATCATGAGTAACACAATAATTTTTTAATAGATGTTTGCCAAATCGGTCAACATTTACCTATTTGAAGCTATTTTTTTCGAGTAGTTTAAAATGAAAAAAACTATTTTCAAAGGTTTGTCTTTAGGTGGCGTTTCAAACGTCCCAAACATCATCAAACCCAATACTCGAATAGGAAATTATATGTTCATCAAATTTGTCCAAGACCGGAAGATGATCCAAGTTCAGCCTGAAATGTGATGTGATGTGATATGAGGGGCTCGGTGGTCGTAGAGCGACCATTTTTGCATACTGAGCAGAAAATCATGGGATTAATATCAGATCCCTGCGCATTCAAGATTCACTGATAGCCTTCTTTCTTAACTTGTACCCATCACTGTAATTCACTAATTCAGCAATAGCAAAAATACTATTTGTTTATATACAAATCATATTTCATCAGAAGTCGAATCCTATTTGTTCAACAAAATTGTACGCCAATTGTACAGTTCCCAATGGGTGTACCGACATGTGAATGTAGGATTATAGCGAACACATGCAAACAATAGGTGATACCAACTTCTTAGCATCATATCTGGTCGGTACATCTGGTCCATATGTTCTGTTTATTAAACCTTCAATTCAGTGCCTTAAGAGTGAGCTTGAGCCGGTACGAGGCATTACTCTCAACCGGAAACCATATTCATAAACTCATCAAGAAAATTCACCCCTTCCCACTTTTCTGCCAATCATTCCTGATGCTCTGGGAAATCAGTTCCCCTGAGCTGTGACACAAACACTCGTCCTCGAATGAAGGAAACTCTCCAGTTCTAGTTCAAGTTGAGCGTATGTGCTCTGGTCGGAATTGAATATTCATTTGATTTCAGTTCCATCTAATGCTTTTGTTCTTCGGCATGGGAAATGGGAAATGGGAAATCGAAAAAGCGAGGGTCAGTAAAATCTGGATGTGTTTTCCAGATTAGATTTCAGGACCCCGTAGGTGCTGTTGGATTTTGATTCGTTTTCACGACTTCCCAGGTTTAATTTGGTCGCGTTCGTATGATTGGGTGGAAGAAAATGTGTACCATGAAGTCTTTTTTTAAATTAAACCGGTTATACCTAGCATAAAGTTTGGTTTTTACCGGTCGTCAATGTCTAGCTCCCTCTGCTGGTGGAAACTAGTCTGAAATAATAAAATCAAACAGCAAACACTCCTCTGGGAGCACTCAATAAACCGAAACGATATGATCTGCCGTATCTAATCTCAATTCTCAAATGGCTAAATGTGCTTGTTTTGAAATTGGCTATAACTATAAACCTCAGCATCATGGCTGAATCAAAAATAAAAAACGCCGAAAATCATCTTTCTACGTTCTGGGTTAGCAAAAACAAGCATATCATAGTCGTAGATAAAGCCATAAGACACTATTCGAAAGAAGTCACACAGAAATTAAAAAACTATCACATGCATCATAATTCACATGTCTTTTGCCATTGTTTTTCATTTCTAAACTCTAGGGCATTTTTCCATATTGTCTTCAGAAAAAAAGGCACACATGTTCCTCTGGAGCTGACCGCAAAAACCTCAGAGCGATGCTCTTCCTGATAATAACATTATATTGCTTTCCTTTCCTATCCTCTGCTATACGGGTGGTGTGGTGTCCGAGCTTTCAGCTTTCGACCACCCACATCAAAAGCAGCTACGGCAGTGTTTTCTAATTTTGAAAACAAATTCAAACAACATCATAACAACACCAACGCAATCGGACAATAAACGAACAGAGACACAACCACCCACCCTCCCCCCCCCATCCTCATGAATCCTAGTGGACGTCGTCGACGTCCAGGCGAGAATGGGTACACTGTTCGAACATAGAGAAGAGCAGTACTTCGGCTAAGGTGCATATTTTCGTCCTATCGAGTAGAAAACATCAAAAGTATCTTGGATTTCACCGTAGACAAATCAATAAAACCTTTGTTCCGATAATTCAGTTCAAACGGTGCAATTACCAAGAGTCTAAAAAAAAATTAAGTATTTTTAGAGAATCAAGTTTTCTTCATTTAATCCAATAACGTTTCAGAGTTCGCTTTGTTCTTTGGTTGAGAGATGATGTGCAGCGTCGTTCTGCCGTGACGTGCTTTTTTCTGCTGGCTTCGACTGATTAGCTTTTCGGTTGTGTTTTTGTGACCGGATTTTATTAGTTCCATGCCCATTGTTTATGATGAGACATGATTCGTTTTGAGGGAGAAAATAGATGCTGTGATCGCGATCGAACATATCAATTCGGTTTCGTTGTGTTTGGAAAATTTACTAATCTTAACTTCTGTTTCGTAGCTTCCTGCATCCGGGTTGTACAACCGTTTATGCTTATTAAACAGAAGATCACAAATACTATCCTATACACCTTAACATTTCTGAGTAGGTGACTCCCATCATCACATTATTTCTAGATAGAGTTGGAATTAGGGCGTAACAGCTTTTGTAAACAATGACTTCTTTCGATGATTTCTAGAAAGTTAAGGCTCGCCAACGCAAATCAACAACACCATCGGGTATGGGACGACTACCCTTACCCGACGGTTATGATGGCTTACGTGGGAATGCCTTGAGTTCCTAGAAATCATCTTTAAAAGGCATTGTTTACAAAGGCTGCTACGCCCTGATTCCAGCTCTATCTAGATTTGCTTACCATGCATTTTAAGATCGCATTACTTTCCAACGTAAATTCAGATCTAATGCATACTTCCCACAACGAAAACGTCATTCTTGTGACAACCATGGAGACTCAGAGGTATACTTGGTTTCTTGTAAGAACGGGAATCGAATCCCGATGACCGTGAGGACTTTTCCGGCACCGATAATGACCTTGAAAGTACTGATTCACCGGAGTCACACGCTCGTCGTGATTTATGTTGAAATTGCCGTTGTCGAGTTTGAATGGTTATAGCATCACCTCTATCATAGGTTGTGCGACAAGAGGGTCTCGAGGGCCTTAGAAAACCATTTATGCTTACTGAGAATAAAATCATGGAATCAAACTCAGGCCCCATCATATTAAGGAGCTTTATAGTCACATTGCTTGCTCATAGTGTGTTTTGTGAAACTTGTCGTCGTTGTCGTCATCATCAGTGCCGGGTTTCAAAGGTTACTACAACAACTCAATCATTAGTGGAGTGATGTGATTTGAGGGACTCGATGGTCGTAGAGTGACCA